CAATGCAGTCCTTGGCCTCTCAGTTAAAACTACCAACATGAATGCCAAATGCGCTATTACATCTCATTCCAAATCACAAAAACAGACTCAGTTTTAACTTTATAATTTTATGTAGACCAGCAGTTGGTAATGACTAATAGTCACTGCCAATATCTTCTTGGTTTAAGATAGTGATCTAAAGGTAATGTATCACATTACTCAAACACTTGAACTCAGTATTTTACTCTTATTTGGAGCAGACTGTTACAACTATTAATTTAATTCTCATTTCTGTTAGGGAAAACCACATTGATCAAGGCATTGACTGGAGATGCAGGACTGCAACCTCAAGATCAGCTATTTGCCACTCTTGATATTACAGCTCATGCTGGCTACCTACCCTCACACCTAGCAGTTATTTATGTTGACACTATTGGGTTTCTCTCTGATCTGCCTCATGACCTCATTGGGTCCTTTTCAGCCACTTTAGAAGAGGTGGCTCACTCAGTAAGTAACTGATTGTAAAACCTATCATTGCTTCAACAGTTATGTTTCTGATGATAGTTACTCCTGCAGGAGGGTGTAAGTTAACTGGTACTCTTCAGAATAGAGCAGTAGTGCTCAACCTATATGGTCTATGCGAGGCCAGCCCAACCCCACACACAGGCCACTTCATCTGGCCAGTGAGACTGGTCTGTAACACTGAAAACTTGGATACTTCATTAATAACTGTATTATGTATTTATATTTTCTAGGATTTAATAGTTCATGTGAGGGATGTTAGTCACCCTGAAACTGTCCAACAGAAAGCAAGCGTTTTGTCTGTCCTGAAGAATCTTAATCTCCCAAGCCATTTACTGGATTCAATTGTAGAAGTTCATAACAAAGTAGATTTGGTAGAACGGTAAGAGGAAAAGTACATTTCTGATACTTACTGCCCTTTCATCTTTCCTAGTGTTAATGTAGCACATGCCATTGTGCAGGTATTTGCAGGCAAGCTAGTTTTCAAGGCCTGAGGTGATCTTCCAGCCTCCTTTTGGTAGCTATTTGATAATGGTTCCTCAATTTTTTCCATATACAAACATTATCTTAAGATAGACTTCTCTTTAGAAATAAAACAAGATTAGAATTCATTATGATCAGCAGGTAATATGGCAATATAATAAGAGGCCAGAATCTCAAATACACTTAGATACTATGTATGGAACTTACCTAGCCTCCTTTTACCTTTAATAGTCATGACCTACATCTACTGCCAAATTCCTGCTTTTCAATTAAGTTACCTTCATGCACCACATCTTTTGCTGATAGTAGTTATCTTCCAGGTATGAGCCTATTGAACCAAATGCTGTAGCTATTTCTGCTCTTCATGGGTATGGATTAGAAGATCTTAAGGAGGAAATTGAGAGGACAGTTTTGAAAGCAACAGGGAAGAAGATTCTGACAATTAAGGTCAACTTAACAGGACCTCAACTAAGGTAAACAATTGTGCCTGGCGTATTAAGAAATTTTGAAAGACATGCAAGTATTAGGTAAGAAACTTAGCTTTGTACTCTCCAAGAAGCCTGGTAATTTCTACTGATTTGGATTTCAGTCAGTGATAAGAATTGTAGACAGGTTTGGAAGCTCTAGTTCAGTGGTTCTCAACCTTTTTTGTGCCAGGACCCACTTATAAACATCAATGGCCAGTCTCAATCCAGTGCCCCTTACTCCTGATCGGCTGCTCCCACCCCCAGGACCAAGCCCCTCAGCGTGTGGGGCAGGGGATGGGTGTGTCGGGCAGGAGCAGGGGTGCGTGGGGCATGGAGGGCCCCAAGCAGACTGGAATTCTGACAGCCTGCAAGGAAAAAGCCATGGTTTCCCACATTTTTCTCCTTTAAAGAGCCATTTTTAGTGACCCTTTCATATATTCTTGTGACCCACTTTTGGATCAAGACACATGGGTTGAGAAACGCTGCTCTAGCTGATCTCACAGACCGGATGGTAAGTGACTCCATTAGAAGTCTCAATTCTGTTTCTAAAAAGCTACTCTTTTGTTCTAAAGCATGTAAGAAATGATCAATGTTTAATTTTTACTGCGTATGTCCATAAAAATAACTTATTCAAAAGACTGACCCCTGGAACTAGAGCCAGATCTGAATCTGCCACAAAACAATCCATCTTGAGAAATTTTTATGACATATTGTCCTTCTCCTCAGAACAGGGAATAGCTTGTTGGGAGAATAAGGTGTTTTCCCTTTGTTAGGCTTGTTTCTTTCAAAGTGTGAAATTACCTAAATTTAAAACATATAATCTATTGTTGGTGTTCATGTTTTTGGAAATGCTGAATACTTACACAAGAGGCTAATTTTATCTTTACAGTTGGTTGTATAAAGAAGCAACAGTTCAAGAAGTGGATGTTATGCCTGATGATGGAACAGCCAGCGTAAAAGTGATAATAAGTGAATCTGTCCTAGGCAAATTCAGAAAAACTTTCCCACAATAATAATATCCTAAAAGATTACTACAACATTGCTGTTTGGAAAAATAATGAATCATGCATCATTAAAAGTATTTGCAATTAATCTAATAAACTGCGTGCTCAGATATAATAAAAATGTGTCATTTGATCTTCAGTTTTTGGAATGTGACGCATCTGAATTTGCAGCATGTAAAATGCTGATATTACTTAAGTGCCTGTGCTTAAAAATATTAAAACAAACCTCCAGCCTCTGTCTTTTGCAAACACACAATGAACAGCACCACTGTTAGTTTAAAAATATAAAGCATTCATCACTGCACATTAGAACTGCACAGAACACCTGCTTTAAACTCTGGGCCTCAACGGTCTGTGGACTATTGAACTCAATAAAAACAAGTTGCCAAGTTTCTTAAATCACAATCTAGCTTTAATGTAACAGTTTTAGGAATATTACTGCTGCACTTGACACTTTTATTTCATCGTTAAAAAAAATGTAAACCATTAAAAAAAATGAAGGGAGAAACAAACGCTTGCCTGTGTTATGAGTAAATTGGGCACTGCTAGTTTCTTTAAGCATTTTGCTTACTGCAAGATCATTACTGCACAGGTTTTAATTTACTTATTTATTATAGCAGAAAGTAAGGATCACAGAGCCCTTGGATCTGGTCTGCAGAGCCATGGCTTCTGTGGTATTTGAGCAGCAGCAGCAGCCTCCTTATGCTGCACCTCAGTCAAGCACCTTGGGCTCCAGTGGAAGGGGAAGAAACAGTGCAGCATCCAGGTTTAGAGACCCTCTGACCCCTGCTAGCTTGTTCTGGCCCCCCAGCTGAAAAACATTGCCAACCCCTAATCTACAGTGTAAGCAGGAACTAGACTTTTTTTAACTGCCATTTATAAGCCTCTAAGAAGCTGATGACAAGGAACAGAAACCCATTCTTGAATACTGTATATATTGTATTACAGAAACTATTCATGGTAAGTGAAATTAAATCTTTATTGCTTATGAATTGATGTCTTGCTATAGCCTGTGCTATTGACTGAACTCAGCTGTAAACATCAGTTGTAATAATTGCAACTGATAAGTTGCAACCATATTACACAGCAGCACTGTCCAAGTACCATGGATAAGCTTAAATTGTAAATTATTTGTACTATGAAAAGCAACACTACAAAGAACAGCAAGGCAAATAGTGGAATTCACTTCATGTACAGAAATGAATAAAGGTTTTATTAGGTAAGGTAATATATAACAGGTTAATGCCATGCAGAAATACATTTTGTGAGTGCAGTACAAAGTGTATGCAAGTTAATCACTGAAAAGTTCTGGTGCACTTTCACAAAACTAAGAAAATATATCACTGCTGTACACAGATGACCAACAGGGAAAGGACTAGGATAGAAAAAATATTAACAGACTAGTAGAATTGTTTTAAAATGCATTTCTACTGACACACTATCTTGGAGGAGGTAGCCTTTCATGTCTGGAAAAAAACGTCCCAGTAGAGTTTGGTGCAAGTAACATTTCTGCACAGAATTGTCCCAACACTCCACCACACACTGGAACTCAGCATTGGTGTATGAAGTGCATCTAAAAACAGTGAGGTTTACTGATAGAACTACACAGGGAAACATGCAGTTCCT